TTAATTCAGTCTCAGCTACTTGGCTTTGATCAGTATGTCATACAATTCAAAAATAGAACACTGGTAAAGAACTTGTAGGCACTGAGCATTCATCTCCACATTATTTAACTCAGACATTATGACACAAACTCAGTAAAAGATATTGAACAACACATGGTAACTAAGGTGGTGTAATTATTTACAGACCATTTCCTGGCTGTAAATATAAAAATCTTAAGCTGGTGCATTTTTTGTGCCTTTGTTCACTACAAGTGTGTGAATGAACATCCCTAACAATAAGTTTCCTCTTAGGTAGGAGTCTGATTTTTCTCCGTTTGCTCTGATTAACCCTATAGCATAGAGGTGTTTTTTTTCCATCTGTTTAACATTCAGGTATTAAAACATTCCCGTGTCAAAACTGTAATGGTTAAGTTACATGCACACCTTGAGGCAAGCCACTAAAAGCTTAGAATTGCAAAGAATTTCAACTACAAAGCAAATACAGAATGTAGATGAGCAAGGAGATTTAAAATAGAACAATTGAAACGACGTTGATCCACTCAGACTGTGTAGTTCAGGTAAATGTTAATTTTCATTCAATAACTACTGTTTATTTTCAAAAGCAAAACTTTATTCCCCGTATGTATATTATACCCTGTATGCTGTGCTGAGAAATCTGGAATTTAATACTTAGCATTTCAGAGTTTATAAGACACTTGTAACAAATTTTAGTTTGAGACATAGACAGAAGTCTGGAGTTATCAGGAAGCTTAAGACTCCAGATCCTGCCCTGCTGATGCCCTCTCTGACACAGCTGTCTTCATGCACTTTATCCAATGTTGTGCTGAATGGTATCAAAGCACCACAGTATGAAACTAAGGAAGCAGTCATCAAGGCATCCTGTTTGCTTTCGTCTGAATTAGGTAAGGTCCAGATGAGATAAAGAGAAGAAAGACTGTTGAAAGTATCTGAAATACACAATTCCAGTTGAATACCCACAGAGACACATGGCTAAACACGTAGTATGTCTCAGCCCTTCCTGATTTCCCCTCATTTGCCCGCTGTCTCCGTCTGCATAACAATAATAAAAACAGTTGCCCTTTCTAATTCACCAGATGCCAAAACAATTGCTTAAGGTCTGGGCAAAATTTCCTGCTTTGGAGTTTTATAGCCTTTAGACTGGAGAAGTAAACATGTAACAAATAAGTTGGATCAGTTTGCATCAGGTGTTTTCAATGTTATAAAAACTTTAATTACACATTGCTAGAAGAAGGCTTCAGGTAACCACAAATAAAGAAAAAAAAGACAGTCTGCCATTTCAAACATTTAAATTCAGTGGGTTTTTTTCCATTAATATTTAAGGTAGGCTTTCACTGTTGGGTTCTAATTCAATTTGCACCAGACTCAATAGAAAAGCCACCCCCTATTTAAAGAGTTTTAGTGAAGATCTTTATGAGTACACTTGTTAGAGTCACTTAAACACCTAAATCACAGAACGGCCCAGGTCTGAAGAGACCTCAAGGATCATGAATCTCCAACCCTCTCTGCCACAGGCAGGGCCACCAAACCTCACAAACTAGACCAAGCTCCTGTGGATTTCTCCAGCAGCTACATAAACATACACACAAGAATCTGGGACATTAGAATTAAGGAACACAAATTTCTCATTTTATTTTACAGAAAATTCATATCTTGATCAGCAAGCATTCAGCTTTCTGACAGAAGCGTATTTCCTTCAAATGAAATTCTAATACATTCTTAAAAAACAATTTCATAGATCAGTAACAGTCTGCAATTTTTGCATTTTCTTCCCAAACTAAGCAACCATTCTGCACAGGAAATGCAACAGACTGACAGCAGTGTTGCTCCACTCGCCCAGGATTTGAGGATCAAGTCCATTTCTCCAGCTCTTGCAACCTCAGTGATCATCTCTACAAGCAGAAAAACTGTTGCAGTGTACAACAGCCCTACAGAACTTTATCTAGCAATGGGCAGACTCGGGGTCACGGTCTTTCAGGAAAGACAAGAGGCAAGACAGAAACCAGTAGTCTATATGCTGATCCAGTTCAGCCACAGAAGGTTGCACAGGTATTGACAAAGAACTGATCAAAGTAAAGAATCAACATATTCCAACTTAGTGAAGTTCTGAAAAAATGTAACAACAATCTCAACAGGGGAAAGAGTTTGCACCTACTGAACCTACTGCTAGTGTTTTCTCTCTTTGGCAGATAGATCAAGCAGTCCATATGTGCACCTGAATTTAGACAGCAGTTGAGTGAGAGGACACAACTACCACCAGAACTTCTACAGTTTCAGAGCTGACAGCATCACCAGATTATTTGTAGCCTAGTCACATATAGATCACAGCACCTTGCATATTGCAAGTAAACATAATTTCAGAAAATGACTTTCCTTTCAAATACAATAAATATTTCAGAAAGGAATCCAAGCCCTGTCTAGAAAGCCTCAAAGGCAAATCTCTTCTGATCTGTTAGTTTTTATTCTTCGCTCCCTCCTTCCTCCTGTTATTTTTGTCTTCCTTTATTCCCTCCCTCCTTCTCTGATTTTGCATGTTAACTACTGCCTGTTTTCAAAAATTACACAGTTTAAAAGGTTGAGTTTCTCCAGCTGAAACAGGCTACTCAAACTAATAAATACTGATTTGTCAGTTATAACCAAAGAGCTCTCTATCACCTGCTTTATTCTTCTTTTACGTTGTAAGCAACACATCTATCATTTACTAATTTTGCAGTTAACTGAATTAATTATAGAATGACTTAGCTTGAAGGGGACCTTCAAGATTATCTAGTTCCAACCCCCTGCCATGGGTAGGGTTGCCACCAAAAAGATCAGATTGAGCTGCTTACTCTGGAGCCTTTTTACACCATGATTGCTCTATTCTGTTCTCTTCCAGAGGTCTTTTAGAGAGATTGTCTGTTGCTCTACACATACAGCCTACAGTCTTAAAACTTTTAAGTTAGAGGTTATCTACATGCATTTTTTTTGATGAGTGATAGAAGATACAAGTAAAAAAAGTCATGGTATCTGACTTTCTTTGGAGCTCAGTGATATTTTGTCATTGACACTAATTTTATGAAAGCTGTAAAATAGCTAATTCTTAATCATTTAACATCAGATGCAATTATATTGGTTTCTAAAATGCTATTAGCAAAATGCTATGTGATACTACAATATCTTTACTTATCTGATTTTATTATCTCATGCATGTAACTTTATTAAGCAAATGTGTCATTTTTTCAATGACTTCTTGATATCATATTGCTACCCTTCAGTTCTTATAAATTGAATTCCTCATGAGGTTTCTTATTCTTTTGTTTAGAATAGGTGCAACGTGACCAATCTACAAGTAGCTGTTTTTATCTGCCTTATCATCTTTCAGATATTCCTGAGCTTTTACCTTGTAACAACTCCCACTGAAAAACAATGTCAGCTGATGGAGATTTCCCTTAACTTGTATTGTAGAAATCCCGGTATCAATCATACTAATTTAACAAAGTGAAATATGATCTTCTGTGATAGAAGCTATAGCACCATACTGATGGAATGTAACCGCAGTCCTTTTTCAATAAACTTACATGCAACTCTTCAAACAGTTTTTTTAATTAACTCCCCCTCCCCCCCCCCCCCCCCCCCCCCCTCCCCCCGCACACAGTAACCCCATGCAAGTTAGGTAAAGCAACCCTTTCTGAAATTGTTGTGGCACGAACAATTGAAAAAATATTGTATGTAATGGTGTATCACAAGAGTTTTCCATCTATAACCCAGAATCATTTTCCTGCATTCTCACAGAAGTGGAGCAAGTAGCAGAGTAGGTTGCATTAGGTTGTTTTTCTGTATGTTTTGTCTTTTTTGTATTTGATTCATTTTCAGGTCTATATTAGTAGGTGAAATTCTTCTAATTAAATCTTTTCTTTTTTAACACTTTTAGTTTCAGTTGATCAAAACATTTCAGAATAAAGAAAAAAAAACATGAATAAGAAAAAAGTGTTTATCCTTAAAATATTTTCCCCTTTATAATGAATTAAACAAAAATAGCTGACAACATCCCAATCACTAAACACAGAAACAGAAGCTTAACACAGCAGGCATACTTTATAGCATTTTTAATAGCTGACTGTAGATGCAGTACCACTAAAATATTATAATTCTTGGGCCAACCAATATCATGCCATTAAAGTGCTTTATTCATTTATTCAAGTTGTTTCACTGACTTATTCCTTTTACATGTAAGCCATTACAATGTCAACTGCAATGTCTCCATGTTATGATGTTACAGTAATTGCAGTCTCATACATTTCAATTTTTTTATGCTAATTTTTATTGCTTCACACAGCCCCTCTTCTGATGTTAACTGCACTGTCTCAGACATTTCCACTGGCAGTAACCATTCCAGCAATACATAACTGCAGCTTATTGGCAAGAACTTAGACTTAGGTCTGCTATTTACATTAAAATTAGTCCAAATCATGTTAGTTATATGAAGAAATTAATGATATTGACAGTAATTCGACTCTAAATACAATTTTAGCATTAGAATTATGACCACATTGTAAATGGTGCAGGGGAGGTGGAAATTAATAAATTACATTGCAGATCTGAAACTGCAGCACATTTCCTCATACAAACAAAATAATTTGAAGTGTGACTTGTTTTCCAGACTTCAAGTTCTGTAAAGCATTATGTCATAAGCATGCATTTAGGACTGCAGCTACATTTTCCCTGCTTTTATCTTGCATGAAAGATCTGAGTAATCAACTACTTTTTTTTTTTTTTTTTTTTTTTTTTTAAGATGCTTAAATTTTAGCTACAAGCAGCAGTCCAGAAAGTCTTAGACCCTTCTAATGAAAGTCAAGGAGCAGGCAAAATCCCAGACACTGTGTCCTCAGTAGATAGAGGAACAGAAAGAGACCTTCCATAGCTCAGAGAGGATACCTTGCACAGTGCACATAGAGCAACATTTGGCTGAATCAGTAAACAGACATACAAGGAATATAACTTACCCTGAAATCTTCCTCTTGCTCATCTCTTTCTGTAACTGTCACGCTGTTAAATACGTTTGCACGCTATAAGAGAAAAAAAAATGTGCATTTACTCACTAATGCTATACAATCTTTGGATATAAAAATCTAAATCCTACTTTCCAAATTAATGAATATCAACCAATAAATGGTCAATAAATGGCCACTCATGAGCATAAGAAGTCAAAATGTAAGTCAGTGGAGTGAATTAAGTATAGAACAAAAGCTCTGTAATACTTCTTATCTAAGTCAAACTCTTTACCCGCTTTCACATACCAACTTTAGATATTTGGAAAGATCAATAAAATTAGAGCAAAATATTCATTATTATTGATATTCACCTTATTGATCTACACATGCAATAAACAAATCAAATATGAAATCCAGCAACAAAACTGTTGATCTCCAGAAGTTGGCTGAAAAGAAAACCACTTAGGACATAAAGGTGAAATATTTAGGAAAAGATACACTAACAATGATCTAAATCAAAAATTATTTTCGCAGTGAATTCAGTCCATAGAGTTTCTAAGTAATCTGACCAGGTGATTTCTACATGACTATGCATTCAGAGTACAATTAACTGTCTAAAAACAAATGCATAGAACATTAGCAGCCATCCAGACCTAACACTTCTTGGTTCTTATGCTTCTGTCTTCAAACCTGTACATCAGGATAAGGTCTATTTCAATAATGGAAATGGTTTCTTGTTCCACAGTCAGACTGTTTCAGACAACCACAAGATTTTCCTCTTCCTATTGAAAATGTTCTCTTCCAGTAAGGACAGAAAAATTACATTCTCCAGGTTTTCCTGCTGCAGCATTCTCTAGAGGATATCTGAAAATAGATACCTATTTCTATTACATGCTGTAGACAAAATTTTACTCACTGTGCTATTTTTCATGCCTTCATTATTCACTAATCCCATGACTAAGCTAGAGGTCCCAGCATCACAAATTGCTCCAAGCTCCCAGAAACCTCCAGTTTAGCACAAGCAGAGTAATGCTCTGGGCAACCTGCAGTCTTTTTTTCTCTGTTAGACAACTACAGGCTACTTTGTTTCTCTTGATCTCTTTTTACCTGCAAAGATGGATGAAGGCCTTCATCAGATGCTCACAGGTGGTCCCATAGTTTGGAAACCTGTATGCAGGGACATCAGATCCCCACCCCATCACCAGCTGCTGCAAAATTAGTTAACCTAAACTGAATGATCCCAATACCAAATTAAGTTGTTAAGCATTTTAATTTGAAAATCATTTCCAAAAGTATCAATTCAGTTTCCTACTATAAGAAGGTGGCTGTAAGACTTGTATTTCTCAATTGGATTTAAATAATTCAGCAACAGCACTCCAAACACTTTTAGCCCAGATGTTCCATTGCTCCCAGTATACCGTTAAAAATCATTCCATTGCATCTGGTCATTTATTTTTCCTCAAGTGTCAAAGCTCACAGTATAGCTGCCACAGCAAGAAAAAGATAGAAAAGCAAAAAACTGCCACTATGAGTACCATAAAGCATATGTATAAGCAAGAAGTATCAAGTCTACAGTCAACCATTCACGAGATACTAGAAATGAATTCTCTGTATGTCATAAGCATCATTCATCCTCAAATTCTGAGGTTGGAGACTTGATGATCTTTAAGGTCTTTTCCAACCTGAGCAATTTTGTGAATCTGAACTTCTTCATTAAATTGCATCTCTTAATATGGACAGTTTTTTGTCTCAAGAAACAATATTCTGTACTTCATGATTCCAGTGGGAGAAAAGACTAAATCTAACTGGTTACATTTCAGGTGTGTCAGGCTGCATTTAGAAGGTATGTAATCCAAACAGTTCAAAAGAATTATAAAACAGGCAAAAATATTTCAAGTTAACCTTCAGTTCATTGTGTTTTTTGTTCTCCTATAGAAATAGCACAGCATCATTTTTTCATTTTAGGATTTTCTTCATCATTAGCTGTTTAGTTTTTAATCACTAACCGCTTGCAAAAGTTACAAATTATTACTGGTTGCTATTTCAATTTTTTTTCTTCAGGAAATGCATTATTTGAGTACCCTCACTGTGCTCATGCAGCTGTATCATTAATAGCACTGCACATGGTCTCACACTCACTATAAAATTAGTGCCACCAGTGGGGATAATTGAAAATTAACTGTTGAAACCTGGATGCGTGGTCTAAATAACCAGTATCATTACACTCTTCCAAGGGATCCTTATCTCTTTCATTTACACTTTGAGAAGAGATTAGGAATAATAGTTTTCACTTTATAAGTACACAATGAGATCAGTTTAAGTTAAACCCAGGGTATGCCACGTGAGTTGTACATGAATGGCAATGAGTAAATGCTGAATATTTTCATTGATGATTAAGCTGACAAAAAAACAGGAATAAGTTCATTCCATTTCAAGTAAACCCAAATACATCACTACTGACCTACAAGAAGCATGAAGCAGTCTCATTCTCTAATTCTATCTGTCCTGGCTTAGAGACCAGTCTGCAGAACATGGCAGAAAAGGTTCTGCTTACAAGGTTGGCTTTTTTGCTCACTTTTTACCTTCCTTGGAAGTACTAAGGAACTGTTTTCCAGATAAACACGACAGAGTTCAGATTCATTCCTTACAGCCTACGTATGTGAAATCTTCCACTATCTGCCTTTATCTACCACTATTCTACTCACTTAAAAATTACAGAAGTGTAAATTGTTTCTTTTTAAAATTTGAGTACTTGCAGTGACTGGAGTAATTTATCCTTAAGTAAACTGTGCTAATAAGGTAGTTTAATCATTCAGCAGGTTTGCTACCTGTAAATATATTTAAACCAAGATTAATACGAAAAAAAATTTTCTCCCTTTCTCTACTATGATTACAAAGTCATTCATACTTCCTGACAGACCAATAAGATTTTTTCCCCCTCATTCTAATAATGCAGCTATTTTCTGGTAGTTCTCTGAAACAGAAGACAACTCATCAATTTCCACTAATTTGATAAATATAATAAAATCAATCAAGCATTATAAGAAGTGGACAAAATTCACTGCTCTAAATGCAAGCTCATTTATTCTAGGCACTCTGCTTATAACTGAACCACCAAAGAAATTAATTCCATGTCCTCAATAACCATCTTTTCTATAGAAGAAGGCCCTTACAAAAGATCATATGTTCCAAAATAGTTGTAACTTTATTTTGAATCATGCAGTTAAAACCTTATGACCATTCAAATGCTCAAAGTTTATTATTACCTACACATACAATCTAATTCAAGTCTAACAGAAAAGTTAATATTGATTCTGAATGCTGTATATTACTCACTGTTCTTCTGTATTAGGAGTGCATAAGCTAGAGTAAGAGTAAAAAGGCTAAGTAATTATTTAATTGGAACTACAAGGTCAATAATCATAATGAGGTCCACATGTTTCAGTGACAGCTATTGCTAAGATCTTAAGGGTAAAAACATGCCATACACTCAAGACTTCCTGAATACGATTGTGCTTGACCTTAACAACTAAAAATCTATGAGGAACTGTTTAACTGCATAACCACTTATTATTATGTATCAGACATGTTCAGAACATCTTGGTTTGTATGTTTGCAAAGTTCATCAGTAGAGACCCTGCTACTGAAAGATTCAAGTTCATACTGAGTTAACTACAGCGATAATTGTTTTTTTTTCAGAGACAAAAGATGGCATTTAACATAATCAAGGGGTACCAGCATCCCCAGTTAAAAAGACAGACAGTTTAAGGTAAGACAAGTGGCAAGACTATCTCCTTACTAAGAAAAACATAAATTTTGTAGACAAATATTAAATCTACTTCCAACTGCAGGAGGCCTTCTAAAAGGTTTGCTAATTAAATCCCCTGGTGCCTACAACTGCTGGTGTGACGCATGTAGGTAGTGTCTGAGAAGATGCATGATAGCACAACTTCTCCATCCTAAATTGCATTTGTTCTTCCATCTCTTCATAGACCTTCTAGAAAAGATTTTTAATCAAATAAATATCTTCATTTGTGTGACAATCTGCGTTATGAGCAATTACAATGTAAAATGATAGTGGAACTTAGCACACCGAAAGGTTTACTTTACCTATAAATCAGGACACTTCCCAGGTCTCCTGCAATGCTTGAAGGTGACAGCAAAGTAGTCCTTGAATCCATCACTCAGCAACAATCACAATATAAGTGTGCTATTCCCCAGGAAAAGGAGAGGGCAAAGTGCAGCAATAACTCCACCTCTCATGTCCACCACACACAGTGAAACTGAAACCCACTGGTCTTACATGTTACTGGTGCCTGTGCCACTTGGTGAGTAAAACTGCAGTAATTGCCAATATTTCAGCCTACTTGATGTCATCTCAAAGAAAAAAAAAATTGTGAACGAAGGAAGAGCTTTCAACAAAAATGAACATATGAGTAATTTTTGTGGAGACAATATAGCACTATGCTTGATCTGTAAGGAAGGAAATCGGTTTTCAAAGATTTCATTTTGAAAATTAAATGCAAAAACATGAGCCAGATTGAACGTATATCAAGGAAAGTTCGATAAAGACGAAACAATGGAAGTGAGAAGTCTCATCTCAAGAAAGTTTTGTTGTTGTTTTTTTAAGTTACTACTCAAGTGGGTTTAATTATAAAATCTACTTATGCGGTTACAACTTTGATTGCAAGAAAAGTCAGAAGTGGTGAGTTTATTATGCAATATATGGAGAGCATGGCAGGCATAATTTGTCCTGATTTAAAAAACAATATTTTTCTAAAAAACATTGGTCACCAGACTATAACCCAGTAAGTGCAAGAATTAGGAAAAAATTATCAAAAGAAATTTGGAGAGTAAAGCTGCTGTCAAATTTTATGCTGTGGTGACAGATGAAAGTACTGATGCTATAGATATGGCTCAGCCTGCCATTTTTATTAGAGGTGTTGATAATGAATTGGTGCCACTGAAAGAGACAACTAAATCTCTTGTTTTGTATCAAGCAGTAAAAATTACATTAAAGCAACATTTTTAAACCTCTGTCAACATACCAGATATAGCTACTGATAGCATCCCCA